TAATATTGGGAGGTGTCGACCAATCAATACTAGAAAGAACTGGCCCTTTTGGCTTTTGTCAAAAGGCATATTTTTCTGCAACAAGAAAGAAAGGGAAAAGTTGGTCGACACATATAAAATCATTCTAAGAATCTTGTGGAAAGGATTATAACATACCTTAGCTTGTGTGGGTTCATCAATAAAACCTTTCTTCTCGAGCGAAAAGACATTGTTTTTCTTTGACATAGGCTTAGGTGAAGCATTGGGAAGAACTTTAGTGCTAACATGGTCGACATCTACTATAGTCTTGCCCGAGGATTTCTGTCAAGAAGCATTGTCGGGACCAGAGACGTAAGTTTTCTTTAGCTTTTTTTCCTTCTGCTTTGTATGTTGGACGTCAGAATCTGCACCAAGGGGTTCTTCTAGTTGAGGAATTTCTGATTGAGAGGGTTTCAAATGTGAGTTTGTCTTAACAGTATCATCTTCTTCTAGCTTTTGAGTTTCCTAACAAAAGACATAAATTGATAAAATCAAATGAAAGAGCAAGGTTGATAAATAAATAAAGAGTCGAAGATTCAAACCTGGGTTTTCTTTGATGCTCTACCAAACGCGTCATTCTTACACTTCTTTGGCTTGTATGGGGAGGTAGTGAGATTGATTGTTCGCTTTCAACTCTGAAATAAAGTGATGGTCATACGAACATCCTGAAATTTACAGATAAAGGAAAAAATGGTAGCTTAGAAACATGTTTAGTTACTTTTTCTTCGATAGGAGTATCCACTTTTTACTTTGGTTCACCTTTGACGGTGTCGGCAGTCGAACCAATTTCTTTCATATGACCCTGAAAATTATGACATAATTTAAAATAATTATTGCTAGAAAAGTGAAAAGTTGAAAGAAAGATACAAACATTGCATGTGATGTGTTGCCAAACGAATTCCTAGCATCAATACCACTTATTTTGGATTTCTTGTAAGCCACAACTGTGAAGACAAAAGACATGGTTAGGCCAAGAAGTACAAGAGAAAATAAGTGTATAATTCAATAGGCTTTGATGCCTTACCATGAACAATGTTGGATAAGATACTGACATGACTGATATCGACATGTAAGTGACCCTGATAGCTGTGCACGTCATGTTTAGTTGGAACCACTCTCTAGGCAGGTTTTTTACATTCATTTTTTAAAACTTTCAAGTGAGATCCATATACGAACTACCTTGGGAAAGGAGGTCGAAAGGCCAAAGCAAGCTCACTTGAAGGTAAAGGCAGAAATTTTGGTTTATGAAAAGACAAGGCAAGCAGGTACTTATCCTTTACATAATAAGGAAAATCTAGTTTAGGTATTTTGTCAATGATCTTTTGTTTCAAAACCTTAGATGCCTCAGAGATAGTCCAACTAAGATCAACAAGATTGTAAACAGACTCGAAGTAACATTATGAAACGCTTGAATTTCTTTAATATGTGTATTTGTACCTTTTTAAATTTGGTCTGAGAAGAAGTGAAAGCCTCGGTTAGACAATGCATCTTGGTCAACACATCGACAAAATTTTCAGTTTGGTATTCTTTCCACCAGGTGTCAAATGCTAGGGTGTAGTAGTAATATATTTGGGACTTGAAAGGAACAAGCTCTAGATTTTCTTTAGTTTGTTTTCCAATGAGGTCAAAATATGTCGTTTCAGACTTGTCATTAGTAATCAAGCACATGTCTTCTTCACTTTGAAAATACGAATTTGGTTTGAACTGATTGAGACCAAACTGTCTGGCCACGAGTTTAGGTTGGTAAGCTATAAGACATGCACCATTTTTTGTTGAAATTCTTGTCAACAACAGTTTCAGTGTCAAAAAAGCTTCCCACGTCTCGATAGAGTCAGCTTGATGTTCATCATGGAGTGATGGGAATTCTCTTCTAAACCATGAAAGACCATAACATATATCCATGAACAAATCCATATAGGGAGTAAACGTGTATTGCTTCACAAACATCATAAAGTATTCAATGAAGCTTTCTTGTGTTATGGGCCCTTCATCAGTAGGAGTGAGCAAGACGAGTCTACTTCCATCGATTGTCCATTCTTTGTCTTCTATACCAGGATGGTTTGGTTTGTTAGCAACTAAAGTTGGCTTGAATGTGGCATTTAGCCAGTGTTGAATGAGACAAAAAGGACCAGATATCAGAAGGGAGCACTTAGGATTATTATGGGGCCAAAACCTTTCCTGGACTAGGATGTTTGACTTGAAGACTCATAAAGGGTGAGGACAAAATTAACTGGCTCAAATGGATGTTTCTTCCTGAGTGAATTTGGTTAGAAAGAGTAACAAATGACTTTTCTACTTGCAGAGAACTAGAGCAAAAGATGAAACAGGATAACCATAAGGTCAAGAATGCGATGTGTTCCTTGTCAGAAACTTTTTTTGGTTGTTTCATCGAAATGATCAGATATGAAGTTCGTAAAGCTAGCACACTTTGAATTAATACCTATCATATCTTTCTTTTAGATGGTTGGGTCAAAGACTTCACTGGTTTGTCGAAGGCCAGTAATGGGAGACACATCAAACAACATTGGCATAACCATGCCACAGTGCAACTGAAAGGTGTTTGTCGAACCTTCCCAAAAATGAAGTGCAACAAGCAACATGTTTTGGTTATATGTAGGACCTACCCTAGATAACTGAATCAAGTCGAAAAGATCTCAGTCTTTCCAGTTATGTATTTTTTTAGCTTCTATCTTATTTAGCCAATTAATATAATCCAACTTAGAGGTATATGGAGCATAAAGAAAAACACTACAAGTCATATAAGTGAAGTCTAAGGGTTTGTTCACAACCGCAAGAGGTTTAGTTTATTCGTAACAAGGGAAAATCTTATTAACCTTCTCTACATTTACGTTAAGACTAGGGAAATGGCCTAAAAAAACATGCTTGGTATCAGAAACTATGAAAGGAATTAATACCTGAGAATTCCATATTAAGGGTTTTTCTTCCTCAAGCGAAGGTTCATGCACAAACAGTTGATTCCCAACAAGGATAGATGTTCTAATAGATGCAACAAGTTTAATTTGTAGTTTAGAAGATGATTTGGGCGCCATTTTAGTGGAAACAAGCAAAGATTGTGAGAAATTTGAAGTTGTTAGAAAAGAATAGCTTGAAGTTTTTCTGGACTTTTCGTTGAAGAGGGAAGAGAAAACGATAGAAAAGAGAAGAAATAAAGAAGAAATCTATTTATAGATGGAGGAAAAGACTTTTCATTTTCTCTTTTTCAAGAAATGTCATAAAATATTTTTTGACAAGTGTCCCACGAAGAAGTAAGAAAGACAAAGTTGAGATTGCGTATGGCCCATGATCTCTTAGGAAATCAGAACCATGATGAGTATTTTTTACTTAGCACGTCTCGAAAAGACGTTTTTAATAGGTAGCCATGATGGTGGTGATGTCAGTGCACAACTTTGAATAGTGGTGGAACTTCCAAAATGCCACATGTCTCTCAAATGAATCGAAAGTGATATTTTTGGGGGATAATTTGTTAGCTAAGAAATTTTACTAAGGTACCTTGACAAAAGAAAATGGTTGGAATTTCCGCTCAGGCTAAATATAAGATTTTCGACCATAAGTGAATGTAAGGAGAAATAATAATATTTCGACGTGTTAAGGTGTTTGGTCTAGGACTTAGCAAAATTTCCAAAGTTTTGAAGAAGACTAGTTTGACGGATCAAAATATATTCAATTGAAGCCAATTCAAAATCAAGCCAAGTAATAGTTTTTTGATCTTATTTGAAAGCGTCAGAGACACGTGGAGATCGATCAGAGACATGCAAGTATGACATGTCGAATGGAGGATAGTTGAACGTTGGAGTTAGTTATTTTTACAAATACTATAAATAGGGATTCTATTATTAGGATTTATGGTGGCAAAAATCATTGTAAACTTCATTACACATTCAAAGTATCCTCACACTAGCGAGAAACGAGTTTTCTCAAGAAAATGTATGAAATTGTCCATCCATTTCTAGTTATGCAAATAAAGTCCTTTTATCTGTTCTAAATTTATTTACGTCTTTTTATTCAGACCATCAATTTGACCCAATCGAATTGTTGTTTCTTTTAATTCTTACTTTTTTACTTAATCCCTTTTCCAACACAATTGACATTGAAATGATGACAACTTTAATGCACACTTTTTCCAAGAGAAATCACACAATATGTCTTAAAATTTGCTAGTTTGGTCCTTCAAGTAATAAATTTAAAACTAAGTGATTATTTGTTCAAATCACCGGTGAATATACGAAATAGCACAAATATAGACTCATGTTTGACGCGTCTGTCCATCATTCCCTGATCAAATTTGTCAAGTTTGACTAAAAGTGTCGTTCAATAAGTCTAGGTCGAAGTAACTTTTTGAATACTTCATGTTCAACACTTTACGATAAGTCTTAGGGACAACTGATGTAGACCAACTAAAAACTCAATAAGGAAAGACTCATTAATGTTTCAATGTAGGTCAAGCAACCTGCTTAGTTCAAAGATAAATACATCTACACGCATAAGACCCTAGAGACATTCATACTTTTCATATTTCACTTATTTCTCATACACTATCATCGTTCGAGTGTTAACCTTCTAGGTGAACCTCATGATCCACCACATCAAAGACTTTCAACGCGACTCTGCGAATTCAATCTCCTAATTCAAGTCGAATTCTATTTCGTTTTCAGAAGAATATTATTCTGAATAAAGATTGTGAAAATTTACTTTTTTTTTTTTGAAGTATTAAGATAAGATAATTACTCAATTTTTTGTTGTTGTTGAAATACTAATTTATTTTGTAATTCGCCATCAATTAAGCGGTTTCACATGTAACCGAAAAAAATCACATAGTTCCATCATTTGCCTTCTATATTGTTCCTTAGATTAAATAAATGACCCCTTAAACCACAACGTCACAATATAAAAACCCTCTGCTTTTGTACCTCACGCAAAGAATCAAAGATCGTCGTGAATTATTTCATTCCATTCTTCAGAAAATGACGTTTAACGGTGGAGGTAAGCCATATCCCGTCGTCTATTACGACGGCGAAAGAGAATTCGACCTTGGAATTCTCACGGTGAACCCCACTATGAACATCAAGAATATTCTCTCTATCCTCAGTCACAAGATTGGGATCTTGCCACACCAGTTTTCTGTGTTTATAGCCAACAAAAGAACTAATCGGAAAATTCCTTTCACCGCTTATCTCAACCTCGCCACCGTGTCTCGTGACGGAGGCGCTGAGTATATATATGTTAGGCGGTATAGACGGTTTAAGAAGAAGAAGAACATATCTGAGAAACTCATGCATCTGCGTCGAGACGGAGTTGTTGACGGAAAGAAGATTAACGGTTCACGGTCGGCGTATCCGGTGGCGTCTTCGGTTTTTGGTGGAGCTGAATTCGAGAGAAGGTTGAGGATTTTACACAAGAAAGGAGATGCGGCGTTCTTGATGAGAATGAATGCGATTTTGGCAAGGGGGGTGCAGATGGGAAACGGAGGCGGGAGCGGGGGTGAAGGTGGACGTACTTTGTGTAAAGAGTGTTTGAAGGCGGAAGTGGAGACTGATGCCGGTTTTCATCTATGCGTTCGCGATGAGGTGGTTGAAGGGTTTAGGACAACGGCGGGACCGATTTTCCGACCGGCAAGAAGTTCCGGCGAGAATGGTCACTGATTTGTGAGGTGCTCTATCTTTTTATTTAGTGATGGATAAAAATTGTTCATAGAAAATTTAGGGGAGTGATCCTGTACGGTTTGGTATACGGTAAGCAAACATGTCCGTGTATGGTTAGATAAGAAATTGAATTAATTTATCCTAATGAGGTTTTAAATTAAATAAATATTCTTCCATGTTAAGTTTTTGTATAGACTGGAGAAGGTTGCTCTTCTAAATTTTTAAAGGTTGTATTTAATGTGAGAATTTTGATTAGATATGTAATAAGTATGCAATGAGGCGTTAACATATTTCTTCATAGCTCATAATATAATAATAAGATAAAGATCAGTGTTAATGTTTCATCCAACAAAATTGATGCTTCCTCTTTTGGCACTGCCGTCAAGGGAATGACTATGAGTGAGTCTAATTTATATTTGGAGTAAAAAAGAATTGGTCCAATCTCTCTTAATTTTAAGTTCTTTTTATTAAAAAAGAAAAAGAAAAATGTATCCAAAGAAAATGAAATTAAAAGAGACAGAGAGGAAAAAAAAAGAGAAAAAAAGAAGAGGATCTTAAGTGGTCTAATCTATTGAGTTAACTTACATAATTTTTTTTTTTAAAATTAGAGTTGTTCGATGGATTGATGGAGTAGTATTTGTTATAGTAGAATTGAGTTTTTGAAACTCTGGAGAATGCACTAATTTGTATGATTGATACTCTTAACGTTTAAATCAGTAAGATAATGAAAAGTGATATGAGATTGAGAATGAATTTGAATATTTGAGAAACTGACGCGTCTTTTTTCTTAAATAGGAGAAACGATTAACAACAAAAAGTGTGAGGTGAAGTGTGGATCACAGTCAACCGCCAGATTAATCTCGACGGTTAGTAAAACTCTAGTGGGCAAAATTTCCCGCTTCTATGTGTTCACCGTGTTTTCTGGTGAACAACCGATGATCTTCCAAAAAGGGTAACTTTTTGGTTACTCGCAAGATCGATCAGTTTGATCCTAGGACATATGTTAATTTTTTATGTTGTTTGGACATAAACGTTAATGTGGGTGAAGAATGCAAATTCGACTGAGAAAGGGATGAGTTTGAGTGCAGAAAGTAAATAGAAAGAAGAGGTTGAGGAGAGGTTAGGTGCAGGAATTTGGGTAAAAGTGCAGATAAAGTGAAAACAAGATAAAGAGGCAAGAAATATAAAGAGAGAAATAAAAGACTTTGATTGTAAAATATGGTGTTTCAAACGTACATTTTTCAGTATTCTTTCTCACGCAGCGGGTACTTGAATAGTATTGAATAATTTGTACGATCAGTTGAACACACGGAAATCTACATAAACTTCCTATATTTATACTAAAACTAGGTAACCGTCGAGGAGTTGTCTTGCTCCAGGATGAAGACAAGTGTCTTCTGCATGCGCTTTGACCCCTCTTTTCACGCCACATTGCTTTCCTCAACTGCCAAGCGAACTACCTTTCCCGCCTTTCTCCAGATTCAAAAATCTTCCGGGGCAGATACGAAGTTTCCTTCTGGTCGAAGACCTCGGAGTCCCTTCAGTCGAATGGATTGAGAACCTTCTGGTCGAAGACTTATTTTAACTTAGAATTTCTCTAAGTACTTTTCTACTTTGTCGAAGTTTTTCCAACTTAGACTTGTTCAATCTATTTTTGGCCCATAAAGCCAACTTGTTGTAGGTGTCGAATTTAGGAGCTAACAAATTGCCCTCCAAGAATATCAGTTTCGACGCAAGGAGAGATGATTATTCTTTGAGATTCCCATTCGACATCCGTCTTTCTTTTTTACCACAGAAATCGCTTGTGTTCTTTTCGCCTTCTACCAACCCCTTATGGTATTCAGAGTCATCATTACCTTTTTCCCAACACGTCGCTGTCAATCAGCCGTTACCACGCTGCCATGATGGCCATTATCCCTACAACCTAGGAAAGTATGGCAAACATTTTCATTTCTCGTACGATAACTGCTTTAACGTTCGCCACGTGCCCCATTAACTCTGCAGCATTAAATGGTCTTGGAAAAAACACTCCTTCTTGAACACTATAAATAGACGAATCTTCTTTTGGGAATTCTTTTACAAGTCCTAGTATTCTTCACTTCCTTGCAAAGAAAAAAAAACCTTAACAACTTTGTCTTCTTCGCTCTTTCACTACTACTTTCAGCCATGACCTTCCTTTCCAATGCACCCGACAATCCAAAAACTAAGAACGCTTTTTATCTTCAAAGACAACCAGAGGTTTTCTCTACTAACCTTGTACCTGTTTCGACTGGGGAATGAAGGGTCACATCTAAACCCATGGCCAAATAGTGGCGTGATGCTTATGACTCCCAGTTTCTTATCCCTGTTAGGTATTCTGGGAAAATGTATGCTATGTCTGGCCCATTGTCTTCATGTTTCGAGAACCCGAAATAGAATATCAACTTCTTCCCAACTCACCCTAGGCTCGAGTCTATAGGTTATGCGAAGAAACTCAGGAATGATCCTGAAGATGTAACTCCTGCCAACCAGGAACATCCTCAAACGAAGGAAGATATCAACCTTCAGTTCATGAACAAGGGCAATAAGATATTTTGATCTTGTTCTATTCTTACTTCAGAGTACTCAGAATCGCTGAGTAAGATGGAACAAGCACAAGCCTAAATCTGGAAAGATAGGGGGATCTATGACTTGATCATGCTGTCGAAGACTGTGCTAGCTTATTGCCCTCTCATGCTGGTGGCTTCACTGTATTTCTGAGACATCACCCATTTTACCTTCCAATTTCCTTGTGGAATGGTAACTCCAACTCTCTTTGATATAGCTGCCATTACTAGTCTTTGACCAACGAGTGACTACTTCGATCCCGAGGATCTGTCTAAAGATCCTATCGGGTTTTCGGCCATGAAGCCCACGTATACCGTATTCATCAATTATTTCCATGACAAATCGAGTACCACTTTCTCTGAAGTGGAGCACATAGCTTTTCTGGCTTTGTGGTTATCTCGTTTTGTTTTTTGCACTAAGTCACTTCAAGTGACTAAGAAAATGCTTACTCTTGCAACACAGCTTCACCATGGTTATCCTCTTTGTCTGGCTGAGTTGATTCTAGCTAACCTGTATGAGTCCATCAGCAATGGTGTGACTCAACTTAAGGTTATTGGAGATAAGTCGAGCTTACTTCCTTCCATCCCCTTTTGGCTTCTGCAACTTTGGCTAAACCCCACTTTTGAATCTTTTCTTTCGCATAAGAATAAGATTAACGAGAGGGCTCCAGAAGTCCGGAATAGAAGGGTCGAAGGGGCTAGACTCGTCCTGTTGACTCCAACTGACGAAGGTCAACAATTCTAAAAGGTGTTCACCAGATTTGTAATGATGTTTGCAAAGCGGAAGGAATTTGTTTCAACCATGGATCCCTTTGCTAGTAGAAAGGTTGGCCCAGAATGGTTCATTCGACCATACCCTTCGTCTGATGAAGATGACTATATGGATGAATATATAGCTATTTGGGAGTCGTTTCTTCGACCGAGAGTCATGCCTATGAGATTCAAGAGTTTGAAGAATCAACTTAGTTTAATTGCTTATCAACCGAACCTTGTCTCTCGATAATTTGGTATCATCCAGTCACTCCCTTTACCAATCTACTCTCGAGAAAAGCTTCTGCTGTTTTACAATGCAAACTACTCAGAGGATGCTGCTACCAGGCATATTGGTAGGTATGTTGGTCGAACCGTACTAACTCTGTTCGACTTCAATCTTAATTTACCGTGTTCGCCTCTCTTTGAGGACTGGTGGAAGCAGTATTATAACGAAGAATTTTTTGACGAAAAAGACTTCGTTGCTCACCTTCAAGAGGCGTTTTTGCTAGTCTCTGACAAGATAAAAAAGGGTAATCTTCTTTAACCAAATGTTTTTATCGTCTTCAATCTAATCATTCGATACCTAATTTATCCTTGTTCATTTTCTAGGGGTCAAGAGGACCGTCACCAAGAAAGTCGCTGAAAGCGCAAAAGGAGGAGATCCTTATGTGAAACCTTCACCCAAGGTAAAAACTTTCTACTTGTTATGTCTTTCTTTCCGACATATTACTTTTGACTCTAATGCTTTCGAATCCTTTCTTTCTGGTCATTTGAAATCAATCTGCAGAAAAGGAAAATTCAAGAAATTGAAATTTCCAGTGATGAAGAGGGGGAATCTCCTCCTGTCCCCTTAAAAAGGCAAAAGATAAAGAAAACAGCCCCCGTTTCTGAGCCTCGTCCAAAGACCAAGGTCAAGGTTAAAGTCATTGGTCAAGACCTCCTCCTGTCGTCATCAGAGAACCAACAGAGCAGGAGATAGCTATTAGGCTGAACAATCCTAGTGAGAGCGACAACTCCAGTCCTGGCGCTGAAATTCTGCCTAAGGTAGTTACTTAGACCCCTCATGATTGTTTGCTGACTTCGACTTCTTTTTCCTTTTTCAATAGTTCTGATAACCATCTTGTAATCTTCAGGACACTGTTGGTTCTTCAAAGCAAAACCTTGTAGAAGAATCCGTCACCTTGATAAACAATGAGGGTGATCCTACTTACAGGCCAAAAGGATCTTTTGTGAGTTCTGCTAGCGAAGTGAACCAAACTTCTGGGCACGAAGCCGTTGGGAATCCTAATGAAGAAGTTCCTAGTGAAGGGCATGTGAATCCTGGGACTCCACAAGCTAATGATGATGGACAAAAGGATGGGGGAGAGGAGATGGATGATGATGTGATCGAAACGGAGAAGGAAAACATGCCAGCGGGAGGAAATCAAACTGAAGATATTCTGGCGACTGATGAGGGAGAAAACCTTACAGGGGGAGCAAGAAACTCTGCGCGTGTTGAAGATGTTCCTGTGCAGATGCTTGTCGAAGCCAATGTGGCTCGTTTTGTAAACGAGAGGGTCACTTTGACAGGCTCTCATACCAAGGAAGATTTGGCATTGCTGAAACGGCAAAATCCTCTTGGCTACTTAACTGCCATCCTTGAGGGTAGAGAAAGTTCTTCTG